GTTTCCAACAGCCCTCCCCCAGGCCAGGACCAATCAGGGCACACACACGTGCAGCGGGCAGGCAGAGTGGCAGCTCATTGGCCACGTAGCAAGATCATCAGGCTGGCAGCACCTGTTTCGGGCTCACCATGTTTGGAGTAAACAAGCGGGATTCACGAGCCTTGGCAGTCAGCCAAGAGTAGAAGTAAACAGCACGAGGTTTGGCAGCCAGCCAGGGTGCCATCTTTGGCTGGCTCGGCCGTGCTCGCTTCCCACAAAATTCTTTCAGGGTAGTAGGCTGGTCTGCGTAGTTGGTGGGACAAGGTAGTAGGTTGGGCTGGTCAGGGTAGTAGGAGGGCTGGTCTGTGTCTGGCAGATCAGGAGCCAGGGAAGATGGGGGTGGGGACAATCTGAGGAGGGACTTAGCAGTCTATTGGTGGGGGTTTAAGTAGCCTGGTTTAGGAAGCTAGTCCAAAGATCTGAGGTAGAGGAATTGGAGCAGGTCTGGGTTCAAGGCTAGCAGGGGACAGGCTGGGGTGGGGTAGATTGTAAGTGTTGAGGCTTCAGAGGAATGGAATAGAGATGTGGTTGGTAGGTAACTGACTTACCACGGTCCTAGGTGGGCGGGTCTTTTTTCTTTTTTTTTTGAGACAGGGTCTCACTATAGTTTTGGCTGGTCTAGAGTTCTCTATTTAGACTAGGCTGTCCTGGAACTCACAAAGATCAGCTTACCTCTGTCTCCCAAGTGCTGGGATTAAGGGTGAATTACCACCATGCCTGGTATAGAGATGGGATTCTTTTTATTTTTAAATTATTTATTCTTATTTTATGTGTATGAGTGTTATGCCTGCATGTATATAAGTGCCCCTGTGTTTTGCATTGCCCATGGAGGACAGAAGAGGTTGTCTGATCCTGTGGAACTGGAGTTAGAGATGGTTGTTATCCACCATGTAGGTGTTGGGAATTGAACCTGGGTCCTCTATAAGAGTAGCCTGTACTCTTAACAACTGAGCCATCTCTCTAGACCTCAGAGATGGGATTCTAAGCACCCAAAGAGAGACTGGTCTGATGGGAACAGGATGCTTCATAAAAGAAGATAGCTGAACATTTAAGAGATTCAGATGGAAGAAGATTCGCTAAGGATTCTAGATGTTTCACTCATGCATAAGATTAGTGCAATAACATAAATGTTTCAGCTCACCATCATTAGCTGACTAGTCTCCATAAATGGTAACCAACCCTAACATCCTTTTATGGTTCCTCAAGACTCCCAGTGTGGCAGGCTATCGTGGTAATGACCCATTTCCCCATACCCATGCTCTTATGTATTCCCCTTCTTCACAGACACTAGCAAACATGACATAAGCAAAAGCTTCACAAACTTGAATGGAGGCCTGCCCTTTGGGAACCCTGAAACAACTGTGTTGAGGAGCTCAGGATGAAAGACCATGATAGACGCACCAGATGAAGGGACACATGAATGAGCCTCGGTGAAAGCACAGAAGCACCTAGTCAACCCCCAGGTATATGCAAGACATCATTATTGCTTGAAGCCACTGCAATTTGCTGTACCAGCAAAACAACTGTTGTACAGAAGGGACATAGCTACCTTCCTACTCTGTAGAAACCAGAAATACTGACTTACTGTTTAGTATCATGAAAATACATCTCTACTGGGCAGATGAACCTTGGTTCAAATAAAAGGTGGCTCTTCCTCCAGCCACGGTTCTAAGCCTGAGTGCGTAGTATAGTTTTAGTCCATACCCAGCTCAGTCACTGGGTACATTTATGTGCTAAGTAAGCTGCACATTTAAGTCAACCCTCTGGGAGATTCCTAAACAATTCTCTCTTCAGTTAGCATAGAACAGAAAACTGGCTTCAGATCAATGCAGTTATCCCAATGAAGGGTAGAGATAAAGCTGGAAGCCTTGAGGAGTCAGTAGAAACAAATTTATTAAAAAAGACAGGCTGCATGTTTATATAGTCACCATATTTTCCAGCTGAGTCAATTAGGCAAGCTTCTTCTTGAGGAAAGATGAATAGTTCTCTGAAAAAAGGGGAGTACCATTCTTCCTAGGTACCCATGACATTCCATAGAAGAGGTAGATAAAGAGCTGGATTCCGGAGGAAGTGCAGTCATGAGCTAGATCTTTAGGCAGGTGGTGGGGCTCAACAGAGACAGGGCCTTTAACTCACGCTTCCTTCATCCTAAGAGAATGTTTTGGACCAGGAGTATAAGAGAAAAGGCCGGGATTGCCCACTGGTCCTTGGAGTTGACTGGCCTTTACCAGGCTGCTCTTGGGCCTCCTGTTTCGGCTGCACAGTGGATACCTTCTTCTGGACTGTAGCGCACAGGGCCACAGCGTAGCTGGGGTTCCTCCTCCTTATACCAGTGCTGCTCACTAAAGTCAGGGAAGAAAGCTGCAATCTCTCTGCTGGCAGAAGCCACAGAATCTTTAAGAAGAGATAAGACAAAATAGAGTGACAGGTTGAGGCAGGAGGAATCCAAGATGGAGGCCTGCTTGGATAACATAGCAAGATTCTGTCTCGAAAAACAAAAACAAAACCAAAAACAAAATGATAGAGAAGTACTTTCAGGGGCTGGGGAGATGGCTCAGTGGTTAAGAGCACTGGCAACTCTTGCAGAGGACCCAGGTTTGAATCCCAATGTCCACATGGCAGCTAACAACCATCTATAACTCCAGCTCCAGGGGAATCTGTTGCCCTCTTCTGTCCTCTGAGGGCACTGCATGACATGGATGCACTTACATGCAGGCATAACACTCATACACATTAAAAAAAAAATTGTTTTTAAGGGCTGGAGAGATTGCTCAGTTGTTAAGAACACTGGCAGTTCTTGTAGAGGACCTGGGTTCGATTCCCAGTGCCCACACGGCAGCTAACAACTGTCTGTAACTCCAGTTCCACAGGATCCAATGGCCTCTTCTGACCTCTGCAGGCATTGCGTGACACAGGTGCTCTTACATGCATGTAGGCAATACACTCATACATATAAAAAAAAATAGAGCTGGGCATGGTGGCACATGCCTTTAGTCTCAGCACTTGGGAGGCAGAGACAGGCAGATTGCTGTGAGTTCCAGGCCAGCCTGGTCTACATAGTGAGTTCCAGGGCAGCTGGGGCTACAGGGAGACCCTGTCTCAAAAAGACCAAAAAAAAAAAACAAAATTAAAAAACTGTTTTCATAGGGAGTACAAGGTGGAGGCAAGGATTTGGTTCAGAAACCCCAAGCCTCTCAGTACTGGGGTATGTAAAGAAATCTCACAGACCACATGACTGGGACAGCTACAAAGGACCAGAAATACATGGAAGAAAGCTCACTGGGGGATGGACTTATGATTGTCAATTTTACCACATGGCTCACTCACTGACCCCAAGACATCCTTCCTATTTGTGGCTGTGGACAATGGAGTTAGACTCACCTGAGCCATGGGTGGTGTTGCGGGTGTCAGTGAGGCCAAAACTCCCACGAATTGAATCTGGGGCCATGAAGCGTGCCCGAAACACTCTGGTGGGGCCCATCAGTGTCCTCCAGTGCTGGATGGCATCTTTGTGAGCAAGGATGTAAGCTCGGATTGGCCCACTGAGAAGGAAAGAAGCCCATGTGAGTGATCTGGCCACCTCATCTAGAGCATCTGCCAGCAGGGTGTAAAGGAGCACTGTACAGTCTGTCTTTCTAGCAAGTACCAATGCTGCTTCAAAGAGAAGGCAATGGGAAAGGAGGGTGACTATTTTTTTTTTTTTTGGTCTTTTTTTGGAGACAGCCCCAGCTGGCCTAGATTCGCTATGGAGACCAGGCTGGCCTTGAACTCACAGAGATCTGCCTGCCTCTGCCTCCCTAGTGCTGAGATTAAAGGCCTGTGGTTACTACGCCTGGCCAGAAGGTGACAAGAGTCACAGAGATCAGCAGAGTGGCTAGGCAGTATTTAAGAGTAGCCTACTCAACTGGGCGTGGTGGTACAGGCCTTGTCTACACAGTGAGTTCCAGGCCAGCTGGGGCTACAGGGAGACCCTGTCTCAAAAAGACCAAAAAGAGTACCTACTCCAGCCCCTGGTCCAGTAACCACCACGATGCCTGCCTAACAGGTCAGTGTCAACTCAGTTATGTTTATTGTGACTTGACAGTGGTCACAACTTTAAAGAGTGGTGAGTGAAAGGAATAACACTATTTATAGGGAAGAGGAGATAGACCTCAGTATGTATAGATGCTAGGGTCAAAATCAGAAGTACCTGGCCATGAACTCCACCAGTCGCTGATAGAAAAAACGCCCTGCAAACAGAAAGTACCTTCATGAAGACACTGGTGCACGAGAGAAACTTCTGTGCTCCCACCTCATTACCTAAACACTACTTAGGAAAAAGAAAAAGGACCTTGGAGTCTGACATTTCTGCACGTGAATCTAGGTTCTGCCACTTATTATCTGTGCAGTTTTCGGTTAAGTCATTTACCTCCCTAACTTGGTTTCCAATCTGTGTACTGGGCTATATAAATACCCACTTTTCAGGGTTTGGAAGAATTTTATTTTTCTACATTTTTTTCCTTTTTCTAAATTTTTCTTTTTTATTTATTTTTAAATATTCTATTTATTATTTTTATTCCATGTATATGAGTGTATTGCCTGTATACAAGTGTACCCATGTTGTCCAGTGCCCGCAAAGGTCAGAAGAAGGCAATGAATACCCTAGAACTGGAGTTATGGATGGCTGTTAGCTACCATGAGGGTGCTGGAAATTGAACCTGGGTCCTCTATAAGAGCAGTCCCCTAAATTTCTTTTTTAGAAAAAGATTTTATTTTTATTATTCATTGTGTTTTTCTTTTCCTTTTTGAGACAGGGTCTTTCTGTAGCCCCAGCTGGCCTGGAGCTATGGAGACCAGGCTGAACTTGATCTCACAGAGATCTGCCTGTCTGCTTCCTGAGTATTGGGACTAAAAGTGTGTGCCACGATACTCGGCATTATTTTTATTTCTGTGTAGGGGTATATGCACATGTGAGTGCAGTACCTACGGAGGCCGGAAGAGGGTATTGGATTCCTGAAGCTAGAGTTACAGGAAGTTGTAGTTGCCCAACATGGGTGCTGGGAACCAAACTCAAGTCCTTTGAAGAGCAGCAAGTGTTCTTAACCACTGAGCCATCTCTTCAGCCCTTTCTTTTTCTATATTTTTATTGAGAAAATTAAATAAGCATTACAGAAATGTTTGACAAAATAAATGTTCACTAAATGCTAATTATTGATATTATTTTCAAGATATAAAGTTAGCTGGATGTGGTAGCACACACCTTTAGTTCCAGCAGTTGGGAGGCAGAGGCAGGTGGATCTCTGTGAGACTGAGGCTAGCCTGTTCTACATAGTGAGATCGAGGCTAGTCTGGTTTCTATAGCAAGTTTCAGGCCAGCTGGGGCTACAGGGAGACCTATTTCAACAAAAGATGGCCTCTTCTGACCTCTGTGGGTACGACATGACATGGGTGCACTTAAAAACATGTAATACTCTTATATACATAAAACAAAAATAATAAAACTCTTAGGAAAATAAAATACTGATTACCAGAAGAAGTCTGTGCAGAAACAAATTCTAGAAGACTGGCTGTGGGGCTGGAGTGACCGTTCAGAGTATAAGTGCTTCCCATGCAAGCATGAGAGCTTGTGTTGAGCTCCAAATCAAATGCCAAGCATGGTGGGGAACACTTGGAATCCTAGTGCTGGAGCAGTGGGGCAGGTAGATGCCTGGGACTCACTGGTTAGTCCGCTTAGCCTATTTGGCGAGTTCCAGGCCAATGAGAGATTCCTGTCTCTAAAAAAAAAAAAAAGTGATGGTGCCTGAAAAATGACACCAGAGGTGGTCCTCTGCCCTCCAGATGCATAAATGTATACATGTACACACACACACACACACACACACAATCACAGACTGGACTGGGTGTAATTTTAGACAGTTGGTAGGTCAGAGAGAGGCCTCCAATGTATGTTCTAGAGACTCAGATGGGGACTGAGAGGCCTTCCATTCAGAAAGACTACTGATCTCACCTTCATGCTCTTGGTAAAACCTCCGGCAATCTTCCTTCCTCCATAGCAGTTCTCTCATTCGTACAATAAGGAATTTGTTGCTCAGAATCTGTTGATGTATAGCCTGGATAATACATCACCCCAAAGAAATAAGCCAATCAGAAGACTGAGTCTGACCAAAAGAAACCATGAGCACCCCTGGAGCACAGGACTCAAAGGGTCTGTTCTAGTGATCGGTGCTACAGTCTGGATCTTAAATGTCAGTTCAAAGTGCATGTGCCAAAGGCAGCTGATGACACTTATTGGGAGACAGTGGAAACTTTAGGAGGTAGGGCCTGCTTGAAGGAAGTTAATATTAGGAATGTGCCCTTGAAGGGGATCGTGGAACCTGAGCCCTTGAAGAGATGGTAGAACCTTAGCCCTTGAAGGGGATAGTGGAACTTAGTCCTTGAAGGGGATAGTGGAACCTTAGTCCTTGAAGGGATGGTGGAACCTTTGCCCTTGAAGGAGAGATTGGAACTTTAGCCCTTGAAGAGATAGTAGAACCTTCGTCCTTGAAGAGATAGTGGAACCTTAGCCCTTCTGCTCTTTTCTTTTTTTCAGCCACCATGCTGTGAACACTTTTCACTACGATGAAATGAGTCAGTGAAGTGAGGTCAAGACCTTGGTTACATTGCCAGAGTATGAATCTGGGGTACAGAAGGGAGAAGAAGCACTGCTTCTGCCCCTCCACTCCTGCGGTACTTTGAGCTCAAGTTCCTAGTCCTCACCACCCAGAACACCAACACTAGGTTTCATGATGAGTTTTTCTCATTTGTTCTAAACAATCACACTTGATTAAAAACTCTGTTACTACATGTTATACACAGAAGGTTTTGGGTGGTCATTACTATGGAACAAAGTACACCCATATGAGCCCAGTGCTGGAGGATGCACTTTCCTTGCCCTCTACCACTTCTAACTCTCTAGTTCCATCATCCCCAGGCAGGCATTCCTGCCTTAGTGTCTCTCTTCTGTCTTCCTCTTGGCATGAATTGGTGTCTGCCTGTCCTTTAGTGAGCTTACTGAGTGGTACTGCTCAGTAAATACTTAGCCAATTGTAGGCAGAATCCTAACATGATCTCTCTGTGTCTATGTTTCTTATCAGAGCCATTCCCTAAATATTAGTATTCACTGAGATTCTGTCATTCTGCCCTCATCTTAATTCTACACTCTCTGCCTTGTTAGTCTTGTTCACTTCCATCATTTCAAATGGCACCAATGATTTTCAAGTATTGATTATCAGATCATTTTCCATCCTTGTCTCCAGACCTATGAATGTGATACAATATGATTATGTCACATTACAGAACAAAAAGAATTTGGAGGCTGGAGAGATGGCTCAGCAGTTAAGACCACTGGCTACTATTGCAGAGGACCTGAGTTTGGTTCCCAGCACCCACATGGCAATTAACAACTGTCCATAGCTCCAGTTTCAGGGGATCTAACACCCTCTTCTGACCTCCACAGGCATTACACACATGGGTGCCCTTACATACATGTAGGCAATATACTCATATACATAAAATAAAAATAATGAATACTATATTTAAAAAAATAATTTTGCAGATGCAATTTAGGTTACTAATTAGTTGATTTTGCTTTAGGTATAAAGGAGCTTCTCCAGGTGGGCCTAAATAATCACATAAGAGGATGGTGAGATGGTTCAGTGGATAAAGGTGCTTGTTGCTAAGCCTAACAACCTGAATTGATTCCCACAGGATGGAAGGTGAGAGCTGACCCCATTAAGTTGTCCTCTGACCTCCACATGCACACATCACAGCAGACACACAATAAATAAATGTAATAAAAATAATCACATAAGCCCTTTAAAAGTATAAAAATTTACTCTGGCTGGGGCCTGAAAGTCAGAGAGATTTGAAACATGAGGATTAAATTCACCATTGCTGTCTCAAAGATGGAATAGGCCATCAGGAGGAATGTGTCATCTCTAGAACAGAAAGCAATTCCTGCCTGAAGACCAACAAGTACATGGAGACCTCAGTCCTACAATTACAGGAACTAAACTCAGCCAACAATTGTAGCAAGCCTGGAAGCGCATTCTTTCCTAGACATTCCACATAAGAACCCAGTCAGCACACATCTTCTCTTTGGCCTTGTGAGACTATAAAGAGATAATCCAGCCAAGCCGACTGAACTTCTAAACTATAGAATTGTGGAGTGATAAATGAGTGCTATTTTAAACTATCAAATCTGTTAGATAGCAATAGGTTATATATATAAATATATATATATAAACACACACATATCTGTATATACACACATATACATACATATACATACTGATGATTTTATTTTATAGCTTAGTTATATTTTTAATTTATGTGTATGAGTGTATTGCCTGTATGTATGCAAGTTTACCCATGTTGTGCAATGCTTGGGGAGGTCAGAAGAGGGCATCAGATTCCCCTGGAACTGGAGTTACAGACAGTTGTTAGCTGCCATGTGGGTTCTGGGAATTGAACCTGGGTCCTCTAGTGCTCTTAACCGCTGAGTTATCTCTTGCCTGAAGATTTAAAAAAAATGATTGTATAGGGTTCTCTCTTATATTTTAGATCTGCCTCAAGTCTCTAATTTTTTAGGGTCAGAGCAAATGGCTCCTAGTTCATCTTTTTTTCTTTAATTTAAAAAATTATTTAATTTTTTTATCTTTAAAATTTTTAAATGAATTTATTAATATTATAGCAATTTATGTGTGTGTATTGTGTGTGTAGGTTAGAGGACAACCTGTAGAAGTTGAGTCTCTCATTCTACCATGTGGGTTCTGGGGCTTGAACTCAGATGATCAGGTGCCTCTACCTGCTGAGCCACCTTGCTGGCTCACTCCTAGCTTTTTAACCAGTGTCTAGCCTGTGACTGTGTTTTTAGTCAAGTGGTCCTGTAGTACCTGAAACAGTGCAGTAGAGTCTTAGGATTCATTCTTACCTCCAGAATTAGTGGGTGGGCAACTGCATCAGGCTTGATCAAGGCTAGTGTGAGTTGGAGAGCCTGAGGACTTCGCAGGATGGAGGTCATCGCACTCCTGCCATCAGAGAGCTACTTTAGAGACTGAGCAGTGCTGTGCCCCCAACCCTCTGTACCCTGGAAGCCATGCCCATGTTGCCTTGCAAGTCAATCAAGGCCTTCGTCCCAACACTCACAAAGCACCTGTTATACTGTAAGGCTATATGGTATATTTAGTTACTTTGCTTATTTGTACTCACAAAGTGGTCAAGGAGACACTCAGATTACCCTGTGAGGCATATAGTCTGGTTTGTACAACTATAAGACCAGGAGGGACTTCCTCATTGAAGAGAAATTTAAGTTTAAACATCAACTTTCTTTGCCAATAGTCTCATATCTTCTAAACCCTTTTATGTGTTTTAAACAAAATTTATAATGTCTATTCTTTTGTTTGTTTTTGAGACAGGGTCTCCCCATAGCCCCAGCTGGCCTAGAACTCCCTATGTAGACCAGGCTGGCCTGGAATTCACTGAGATCCACCTGCCTCTGCCTCCCAAGGGCGAGGATTAAAGGCGTGTACCACCATGTCCAGCTTATAATGCCCACTTTTGAACAGCTTGGCCCCAAGAGTACAATGACTGATTTTACTTATAAAATCAGTCCTAGCCTACTGTGTCTCCCATCCATTCTAAAATTGGAAGATTGACTGACAAAAAGTTTAGGCTGCCACTGGATGCTTAAAAACATGTGTGGGTTACCCACCACCTCTTATCTAACATTCAGGGTCTCCTCTCCCCTGCACAAATCAAATGCATTAATATAGTCAGCTGTCCTCAGTGATCAGGCTTATAAGCTCAATTGTGAGGTCAGAGACCAGGCTGCAACTTTTTGTAGCTGAAAAGAGTGTCTAGTAGAAAGAGGCTCAGTTAGTATTATTGACCAAATGAACCAACAGAGCCTTATTTCTACTCATCTTTAGATTCCTAGTGCTTGATATTATGTAAGAGTTCAATAAATAATTGTGGAGATGACATAGAAGATAAAATATCTTATAGACTTGGCTAAGAATTGGAGTCTCTTTCAATAGGGAAACTCTACTTCTGTGTGAGAAATTTATCACATTTGCAGGACTAAAGACTAGAGTTCAGTCTGTGGCACATGCCCGTATTTCCAGCCCTTAAGAGGGAGGAGTACTGAGAGAGGTGGGCCGGGTGTGGTGGCACACTCCTTTAGTCCCAGTACTGGGGAAGCAGAGGCAGGCGGATTTCTGTGAGATGGAGGCCAACCTGGTCTACATAGGGAGTTCCAGGTCACCTGGGGCTACAGGAAGACCCTATCTCAAAAAACCAAAAAGAGTTTGAGGTAAGCTTAGACCTTATCTCAAAAACCAAACCAAACCTAGGTCTCAAAATACTACCTCTAATTTGTCAATGAATACAGAAAGACTACACACACACACACACACACACACACACACACACACACACTCATTCTGGGTGACATTCTCATTTCTTCCTTTTTTTTTTTTTGGAGACATGGTCTCCCTATAACCCCAGATGGTCTGGAACTCACTATGACCAGGCTGGCCTCGAACTCACAGAGATCCTCCTGCCTCTGCCTCTCTACTTCTGGGACTAAAGGCATGTGCCACCATGCCTGGCTGATATTCTCATTTCTTTTAGCCAGAACATAGCTTAACACTCATGGTAGATGCAGTGCTAGAGTATGGCTCAAAGAAACGATCCCGGCAGTCTCTTCTTTCCATGTCCTTTCTAGAGCTTTTCTCCTCGATGTTCCATTCAAACTATGTAGCCAAACCCAATCTAAGCAGTACAAGATCAGCATACCTGCTTGATCTGATAATACCCCAGATGAAAACACGGCATCATTGTCAGTTATATCTTGCGATGTCCTTGAAACCTTCAGCTCCTCATTCTCCACATCCATACTACTACTAAGTCCTGATAATGCTTCTTACCCTGTATCTCTCAAAATCTATACAAATCTCTTCCTTTCAACTACTGTCACTCCAGTCCAAGACACCACCATTTGTCCTTGGACTTTAAAAAAAAATATATTATTAGTATGCTTGTATTGCCTGCATGTAGGTAAGTGCTCCCCAGTCGTGCAATGCCTGCGGACGACAGAAGAGGCTGTTGGATCCCCTGGGACTGGAGTTACCGACAGTTGTTAGCTGCCATGTGGGTGCTGGGATTCAAGCCCGGGTCTTCTGCAAGAACAATCAGAGCCATCTCTCCAGCCCCGTCCTTGGACTTCTATACCATCCTCCTCACTGGTTTCTAGGATTTTTACTCTTGCTATTCTCTAAATTGGTTCTACAGCGCCTTCAGTAAGCTAAAGCTAACCACGCAGTCCCTTCTTTAATCCTTTGAACTGTGCTCTGCTCTTAGAATAAGACCAAGGTCCTTAGCATAGTCTACCATGGTTTGGCAGACTTTGTACGATCTGGTCCTTGGGCAACTTTCTAGCTTCAACTGGAGTCCCACAGTCCTTAAAACTCTTTTGCTCCAGCCTCATGACTTTTCAGTTCCAAGACTTTCTGGCCTAACAATCTTCATGGAAGCAATTTTCGACCTCCCTCTTGTGCCTCCTCCTTGCCCATTTGATCTTAGCTCGCGTTTCCAGCTGGACTGTCTTAAGGTTCCTTCAGTAACCTCTTTCCCATTAGAAGGCAAGCTCCAAGCAAACAGGGCTCTATTTGCTCGCTCCCTATCCTCTCCTCAGTCCCTGTGCAGAGTGCCTAGTACACACCTGGCTTTCCACAGCATTTAGCTAGAAGAATTAGTGAATGACTCTGATCCAGCCATCCCAAGACCAGGTTGCTAGGGGTTCTCCAAGGGAGGACAGGAGCCCTGCAGAGTGTCATTTCTTTCCCAATGTCAGCTAAGTTAGGAGAGTCTGGGCTACTGGTTTACAACGAAACGCTATGCCGTAGAGAAACTTGCTTGACTTAAAGGTCTATCAGACAATTACAAATTATGGAGGTTTTCCCCACGCCTCTCCGCAACTGAGAAGAGCACTGCTGCGCTTCCGGAAGGGCCTAGCTGAAGCCCATTCTCCCACTCCGGCCACCCCACTCCTCTGCGGTCCCCATCTGTGGCCACGCCCCATATCCACGGCTCTAGGCCTCGGCTCTCGACACGCCGCGGTACCTCCCGCCCTATATTTTAGTCTTCAAGCCGCACGATCCCAGCGCTTCTACCCAAGGCCAAGGCCGCCGCAGACGCTGCTATCAGACACCAAAGCGGGTTGGGGTTCACCTGGTCCTCCCACCGCTGCGCCAGATTACAGGGCACTGCGCTAGTGACCTGCGCGGCCCTTCGGGGTCCTTCAGGCGCGCGACGGGGCAGCCATCGTGGGGTCCTTCTGGGCCGCGTGGGAACTGAGGGGGCGGGCGAAGCTGTGCCGGTTGCGGAGCTGAAAACAGAACTCCCGGTGTCTATGGAGAGGATGGTGACAGAGAGCAGAGAGTTGTGGAAACTGTAACGCTGATGACAGGCTTTACAAGTGTAAAACCTAACAGGAAAAGTGGTTTCTGTCAGGCCGCGGGCACGCCGGTATCTCGGGCCTCGGGAGGCAGAGGCAGGTGCATCTCAGAGATCGAGACCAACGTGGTCTAGAGTTCCAAACCAGCTGGGGATACACAGGGAGCCCCTGACTCAAACGAAATCAGAGTATCACCCAGATCAAGGAGTGAGAAATAGCGCTAAGTGCCATCACTTTAAAACGTGCTAATTTACCGTCGGTGTTCGAACACACAGGCATCACTTATGGGATGTTGGCTGCTTGTTTGTACACGCTGTCCTGGGGAACGTCCTTATCTGACCGGCTGGTGAAGGCATTTTAAATATGGCAAAGCGGTAACTGTGATGTTAAGTGCCAACTGATTAATCAATTTGAGTTTATTCAGAACTGTAGTAAGAAACTGTTGAGTGTGGTACCGCTCAGTGTCAGTATTAAGCTGTCTTTATTTGTATATTTTTGTGTTTAATTACACATGTTATCAGTCTCTCCTGAAGGGATCTAATCCAGGATACTGAGTGGGCTTTTTGCATTCTACATTTCACACTGAAGAATTTTTTTTTTTTTTTTTTTTTTGTCTTTTGAAACGGTCTCCCTGTAGCTCCATCTGGTTTGGAACTCACTATGTAGACCAGGATGGCCTCGAACTCAGAGATCCTCCTGCCTCTGCCTTCCGAGTGCTGGATTAAAGGCGTGCGCCACCACACCCGGCTTTAAATTAATTTTAAAAAATTCACAAGTGTTTTGATTCGTGGTGTGTTTATTTGTATGTGTGTAGTGCCTGCGAAGGCGGGAAGAGGGGAATAGAGCCAGAACTGCCATGTGGGTGCTGGGAGTTGAACCCAGGTCCTCTGGAAGAAAAGCAAGTGGTTTTTTTTTTTTTTTTATTAGGTGTTTTTGAGCCGGTCTCCCTGTAGCCCCAGCTGGCCTGGAACTAAGAGAGATCTGCCTGCCTTTGCCTCCCAAGTGCTGGGATTAAAGGCATGTGCCAACACCAGGTTCAATTCTCAGCACTTAATGTGGTGGAAGGCGTGAACTGATGCCTACAAATTGTCCTCTTGACACCCACATGACTCACAACCACTGGTAACTGCACTTCTAGGGGGATCTGACATCCTCTTCTGGCCTCCATGTGCACTTCATTGAATGGTGCAGATACACACATTCACACATTCAGACAACACATACGAATAAAATAAAAACAAAATGAATTCTTAAAAAATAAAAAAGAATTATAGGTCAAAATAATGTATCCGTTAATGTGGCATTATATAACATACCCTAAAAGAATTGTAGATACTGTTTTTTTTTCTGGCATTTTTAACTTGAAAGTGATAATGCTGCAAAATAATGTATTTGACAGTATTTGGTGACAATTTTTAATTAAATAGTTTGTTAAAACATTTAACCTGAAAAAAGAGTGTGATCAGAAGACCAAGACAACTTTGTATATTTGTGGGAAGCAGGCGCGGTCGAGCCGGCCAAGATGGCGCCCTGGCTAGCTGCCAAGCCTTGTGCCCCTCACTTGTTTACTCCAACCTGCATAAGCACAATAAGCCCGATCATGTGCTGCCTACTTGATCAGAGACATCATCGAGTATGATCCTGCTAGGTGGCCCAATAAGCTGCCACTCTGCCTGCCCCCTACGTGTGTGTGTGTGTGTGTGTGTGTGTGTGTGCGCGCGCGCCCTGATTGCTGGGGGGAGGGCTGTTGGGAACGCTATATGAAGAGCTGAAGTGTGTAATAAAGTGAGAGAGAGTGAGAAAAAGAAGCTTGAACCTCACCTTGGTGTCTGTGTCGTCTTTCCTCGGCTCTGCTGGACGGAGTCGTGGTTCGCGGCATATAATGTCTCAAGAACTAACAGTAGCTTATTAGCAACTTATACGATAATAAAGTAACAAAAGTTCCTAAGTTTTGTTCTTAATTACTTTGGACACAAAAATATTTTTGTTATTCCATTTGCGGTACTGAATATTTTTCCATTTCCAATATTTTGAGGACGAGATGGCAGTTTATAATGTCTCTATAATGTCACATTTTGAACTTTGTGGCATTGTAGATTTTACCCTGGGAAATTATTTGAAATGTCATTAGTGGTAATCCTTTTTTTTTTTTTTTCAATTTTTTTAACTTAAAAAAAATATTGAGAATTTCATACATGCATATAAGGTGTTTTGAACAAATCCATGGCCACTATGAGTGGTAATCTTATACACATTCTTCAAATATGTACAATTTGGAGGCTGGGGAGGTGGCTTAGCAGGTAAAAATGCTGGCTTCACAAGAACAAGGACCTGAGTTCAAATCTTCAGTACTCATGTAAAAAGCTCAGTGTGGCACCCACACTTTGTAATACCAACGCTGTGGAGGGCAGACAGGATTTCTGGGGCTTGCTCGCTGCCAGCTCAGTTCCAGGCTCAGTGAGACACCTTGTCTCAAGAAAATAAGGCAGAGTTATGGAGTAGGACCCCTGACATCTTCTAATGCACCTAGTATTCATGTTCAGTAGTTTGATTTTATTTATCTACGCCTGGATAAATAAAAGGAAAAAACAAGAATTTGGGCCAGTGAGATGGCTGGGTGGGTAAAAGTGCTTGCTTTGCAAGCCTGACAACCCGAGTTACATCCCCAGAACCCATGTGAAGGTCGAAGGAGAGAAATGACTCTACAAAGTTGTCCTCTGAGTTCCATTAGCACACTGTGACATGCACATATTATACATACATACACAATAAATAGAATTTCAAAACTTAAAAACATTTGTTGATATTTTATAGACTTATTTTTCATTACATTTGATTATTAATTTGTGTGTGTGTGTGTGTGTGTGTGTGTGTGTGTATGCACATGTGCCATAGGGCCTGTGTTTGAAGGTCAGAGGACATTTTGTGGGAATTAGTTTTCTCCTTTCACTAGGTAGTTCCTGAGAATCAAACTCAGGTCCTCAGGCTTGGCAGCAAGCATTTTACCCACTGAGCTATTTCTCCAGTCCATAAATCTCCTTAGTATATTTCCTGGGATTAATTTCAGAAAGTCTGAAAAAAATCTTTTTTTTTTTTTTGGTCTTTTTGGGACAGGGTCTCCCTGTAGCCCCAACTGGCCTGGAACTCATTATGTAGACCAGGCTGGCCTTGAATTCACAGAGATCTGCCTGCATCTGCCTCCTGAGCGTCTGGTCACAGGCATGTGCCACCACACCTGGCTTCACGTTATTTTTATGCTGTTTTCTAAGAAGGAAGAAATTGGAGCAAATTAATTTCTACCAGTAGAAATGTCCTTAATCCTAGGTCATATCATTAGGCTATAGTTTATGATTGGGAAAGTGAAAGAAGCAGAAGCATTAAAGTATTTTTTTTTTTTTTTTTGTCTTTGTGAGACAGGGTCTCCCCTGTAGCTCCAGCTGCCCTGGAACTCACTATGTAGACCAGGCTGGCCTTCAACTCACAGAGATCCGCCTGCCTCTGCCTCCCGAGTGCTGGGATTGAAGGTGTGTGCCACCACGCCAGGCGCATTAAAGTGTTTTTAAAATATTTTTATTTTATGTGTATGAGTGTATTGCCTGCATGTATGTGAATGCACCCGTGTTGTGCAATGCCGCTGAGGTCAGAAGAGGGTTTGGGATTCCCCTAGAGCTGGAGTTAAGGACTGTTTGTAGCCGCCATATGGGTGCTGGGAATCGAACCCGGGTCCTCTGCAAGAGCAGTCAGTGCTCTTAACCGCAGAGCCATCTCTCCAGGCCCGCATTAAAGTATTTAGATAAAACGGCCAGCGAGATGGCTCAGGAGGTAAAGGTGCTTGCCACCATGCTGATGTCCTGAGTTCAATCCCTTATATCCCACATGGTAGAAATAGATAACTGTAGTCAGTTCAAGTTATTCTCTGACCTCCGGATGTGTACAGTTTTTTTTCTAAAAAAATAAGATACTGGAGAGATGGATCAGCAGTTAAGAGCACTGGGTGCTCTTGCAGAGGACCTGGGTTCGAATCCCAACACCCACATGGCAGCTAAGCAACATCTTCAGTTCCAGGGGATCCCATGCCCTCTTCTGACTTCCATGGGCATTTGCATGACACGGGTGTGCTTACATACATCCAGGCAATACACTCATACACATAAAATAAAAATAAAATATTAAAAATATATTAAGATAATCATTTATACTGGGTTTAGTAGCACTTTAATCCCAGAACTTGAGAGGCAGAGGCAAGTGAATCTCTATGAGTTCAAGGCCTGCCTGGTCTACGTAGTGAATTCTTGGGAAACCAAAACTGCATAGTGAGGCTTTGTCTCAAAAAAAAAAAAAAAAGAAAAATATATTTTTCTCTTTTTTTCAGTTGTGTGTGTGTGTGTGTGTGTGTGTATACACATTTGTGTTAACCTAGTATCATAATGAAATTTTTTAGAGATGAGTTCAAATAATTGGTTCTTGTAATATAAACCTGATTTGTGATGGTGTGTAAAATTTGTAAGCATTTTTTTAAAGTTTTTTTAGTTATGTGTACATGTGTGTGCCTATGTGTGGTTTTGTATATGTGAATGTAGTGCCTGCGGAAGCCAGAAGAGGATATCAGATCCCCTAGAGCTGTAGTTACAGGCCATTGTAAACTGCCTGATGTGGGTGCTGGGAACAGAGCTTGGGTCCTCTACAAGAGCAGCAGGCACTCTTAACCTGAGCTATCTGTCCAGCCTGGTTTTAAATCTTTTAAAAATTAATTAATTTATTTGTAATGTGTGTATTGCCTGCATGTAGGTAAGTGCACTTGTATCATGCAATGCTCGTGGAGGTCAGAAGAGGCTGTTCGATCCCCTGGACTGGAGTTACAGTTGTTAGCTGCCATGTGGGTGCTGGGATTAGAACCCAGGTCTTCTGCAAGAACTACTAGTGTTCTTAACCGCTGAGCCATCTCTCCAGCCCTGGTTTTAAATTTTTTAATTGAGCTTCTGGATACAACAGTTCTCAAACCCAGACCCCCTCCCCCATTCATGCCTCCCCTACCACTGAACCCCATGCACTCCACCACACATGGTAAGTCCTGTCCTGTCAAGTATTTGCACCCAGATGCCCTTCAGTGCAAATTTGTCCATTAGAGTCCAGTCAGTCCATCCAGAGATTGTGTGCAAAACATACTCTTTCCCCCATCCAGCAGCAACCAGCCTCCAATAGCTCTTAGTCTAGGGCCACCCTGCCACCCATCTCTCTCCTTCCCTCTGGGCCCTTGTTTAGTTGAGTTGGTATGAACCCTGTGCTTGATGCCACTATTGCCACAAGTTCACATGTGCAAGCTTCCAGTGGCCTGAAAGCCTCTGCGTCCCTGTGTCCATGAACTAGCCCTGGCTCTTATAATCTTCTGCCCCCTCTTCAGCAATGGCCCCTGAGCTGTGGGTGGGTGGTTCAATATAGAAGTCAGCCTGTTTTTTTTTAATATAGCAATTTTTTGAGAATTTCATACAATGTATTTTGATCATATTCACCTCCTCCTATCCTGGTAACTCATATACTCCTGCGTGTGGGCCTGTCCCCTGGAGTGTGGTCACCCTACTAGGAGTAACACTGTTAAAGAAAACTGCCTATCCTCAGAATCCATTAACTGTCCATAGTTCCTCACCTAGGGGTGGGGGCTCGTGAATTCCTTGCCCCTCCATGCTAGAGTATTGACTAGCTTGAGCCTGTGTAGGCAACCAAAGCTGCTATGAATTCATGAGCTGCAGTGACCCTAACATGTTCAGAAGACACTTTCACACTGGCCCTCCACAACCTTTGTCTCTTACAATCTTTCTGTCCCTTCTGTTATGGTCCCTGAGCCTTGGTGAGGGCCGCTATAGATGTCCCATTCGTGGCTGAGCATACCACTGACACTTAACTCGCTGCACTTTGACCAGTTGTGAGTTTCTGTGTTAACCACCATCTGCTGCACAAAGAAACTTCTTTGATGAGCTGCAATAATCTATTGGTATAGAAGATGAATTTAGGGGGCAGTTTGATACTATGTCCATTTAGCACAATAGTTAGGTTCACTCCTGGGGCCTGTGAGCACCCCAACCATGAGTTCTTGGTCATATTTACAGCATGTTTTTCCTTCTGTGGAGTGGGCCTTAAATCCAATCAGAAGGCAGTTGGCTTCCCCCATAATGCTCATGCCCCTGTTGCACTCATGGCCATGTCTTACCTTGCTGGCCACTGTGGTTCACAGGGTTCACAGCTGGGGAAGACTGTTGACTTTTTTCCTCTAGCAGCCTATGTAGCACCTTCTGGCACCATGAAAGCTTGTCAGTAGGGTGGTTTTTGTTTTTTAATAAAAATCAGAATGTATGTCTTAAGAATTTTTTCAGTACTTTGGATTTTATGCTATTTATGTTGAACTTTGCACATGCTGGGTAAGTGCTCTACCTATAAGCTATATCTCTATTTTTGCTCCACCTTTTTTTTTTGAGAAAGTCTCACTAAGTTATCCAGGCTGTCCCTGAACTCACTCTGTAGCCCAGGCAGGCCTTAAACTTGCACCTGCCTCAACCCCCTGAGTAGCTGGTATTACAGGTCTGCACCATCAGGCCTGGCTTACATGTGAGACCTAAATGCATCCTTGAGAAGTATTTAGAAACACTACTATGACCAGGATTACTGTGCTCAATAAATTTTCTTTCAATAAAAATTGGAATCCCGACTACTATCCTCAGGCCTCTTTATTTTATGTTGTAATTTAAAAAAAAAAAGTTAAAACCTCATTCAATTTTATGTCTTATAAGGGTTATACTGAGTTCAATATTGTATATTGTATAACTGTATTAATTTAACTGTGAACCTCAAAATTTACAGCTAATTTTGAAAGAGAAGCATCTTTGCTCTGGAAATTGTTATTGAATATGTTAATGCTGTAATGAAATGCTTCTAATCATGTGGTTATTAAATAATTTTTTTTAAAAAAAATTGGAATCCCTTTTATGGTGTAATTATTATGAAACCAGAGCCTGACTTTTTGAGAGCTATATTATTTACAGGATACATATTCCACTCAATTATGATCACAGCCCTCAGATGTTAAAAAGTACTACTATTGAGATATTTATCCCCTCATTTTACATTTCATAGGTCATTTTATCACAATTTTTATAAAAACATAGAGTGCTTATATAGTCTCGAGCAGAGACTATAGATTATCTAACATTTTTAAAAGATTCTTATTAACCGAGAGAAGTATTTGCCAGGTTTATGCTGGGAATCATTTATTGAAGAAGCAAATCAACTAATTTGATCCAAGTATCGTCTAGCACCAGCATTCTCTTCTAAAGGGATCTTCTTTTTGCCACCCCCCCAGCATTGGAGTTTGTACCTTGGGCCTTATGCATGCTAGACAAGAGCTGAGCTACAGCCCCAGTCCTCTAAAGTGGTTATCTTGGAAGAGTCAACCATTGTGCTTCACTTGGCCATCTGAGGATTCAGTAACTTTTATGATTCTTCATGGTCATCCCAGGAGTTTTTCTGTAAGAGAAATATCTGCTTAGAGAAATCGAAATGAATGAAATTAAGAGAAAAGCTAACTAACCATACTCATTATTCAGCAGAAGGGATGTTGAACACTGAATTGAGGCTGACTAGAGACATTCTAATTTCATTGAAGAGGAGGAGGAAGAGGAGAAGGAGGAGGAAGAGGAAGAGAAGAGGAGAAGAAACAGTGGGTGTGAGCAGAGAGCAAAGGTGGTGGGTGCCTGTGTGTCTGTGGGCTCCTGGGGAGCCTCTGGGAACTCCTCTCCAACAGGACAGATGACAGGTGGAAGTGGCAGGTCAGTGGCATGTGGGTGCCTAGGGGAAGGATGGGAGGTGGTATGAAGAAAAGAGTAGGAAGCTGATCCTCCACACTCAAAGCTCAGCCCTACCAGTTCCCTGCTCTGAGGGCTTGGGTGAGTCACATGGCCTCTCCAGACCTCTGCTTCTTTGAACTTGAGTTGTAGCTAAGAGCCATGCCTTTCTGGAGGGGAGGTAACAGCAAGTAAAGTGTGTAGTTCGAAGCAGGGAACATAGTTGGCCATCAGTGATAAGGCTCAGGTCTCCTGATATAGCTATCATTATTTTCTTTGTGATCTTGCCAAAGACAGGGCTTCTCTGCTCCTTTAAAATTTATTTATTTAATTTTATTTTAAGTGTATTAATTATATTATACCTATATATAATATAATATTAATTATATTTTAAGTGTATGATGTATTGTCTGTCTCTATGTATGTAAGTGCACCCATGTCACGTAAAGTTCACAGAGGCCAGAAGAGGATGTCAGATTCTCTGGAATTGGATTTAGGAGCAGCAGAGGGCTTGAATGTGGTGCAAGAATTGCCCCTCCCCCATGCCTTGCAGATCAAGAAAGATTTCTGGCAGTGTCAGTTCCCCCTGCAGGTTGCTTGGGTAATCTCTGCCATGCTTTGGACTATACATAAATAGTAGTCTTGTACTTTGCTACTGTTAAAAAGCACCAATGACTTGTTTGATTTGCTCCTAAACTCAAGAGTAAGAAATCAAAATTTCCAGTTTGGTCCTATCAAGCTGGTGGCTTCAGCCTTCTTTTAGTTGAACATCCCTGGTTGCACACTTTTTTTGTCCTGTTTTTCTATCTTTTTGTATTAGGTTGTCTCTGTAGGCATTTTGTGGGATCCCTTTCACCTTCCTCTTCTCTTTCCCCTTCCCTTCTCTTCCTTCTCACTAAGCTGCCTAGGTTGACTTTGAATTTGCCATGTAGCTTAGACTGGCCTTCAACCCATGATCCTGCCTTAGCCTCCCAAGTTCTGAGATTGCTAGCCCAGAAGTTAGTTTTTAGATGGCTGGGAAAATTAGAATGGAAGTGTGAAGTAGAAGACGCTAAGGAACTAATTAGATGCAGTAATCCATTGGGATATACAAGGAAGTGTTTAAGCATCTTAGTGATACACTCTGAAGTATGTAGGAATGAATGAAATGTCTGAGACTGTCTAATAAACTTCATCAAAGCAAGATGAGATAAATGAGGAAAAACCTACGGCAAAACCTCACAGTTATTTGAATCTGTGTGACACATAGTATTAATTCTGTTACAATCTCTACTTTTGTAAATTTTCAAAACAAAACATTGAAAATCTTTGACAACAGTCTCTGGGTAGCTGGCTCAGTAAGGAAGAGAAATTACTGTGCAAGCATAAGGACCTGAGTTTGATTTCCCAGAACCCATGTAAAAAGCTGGGCATGGCTGCATGTAACTGTAAGCAGCATTGGGGTGGAGGGCAGAGTCAGGCAGATCATTCACTGAGATACCTTGTCTCAAGGCAAGAAGGTGGAGAGCAATAGAAAAGATACCTGACGTCATGAGCACATGCACCCACACTCTCATGTGCATCTATCACACATGTATACACATCTTATAGACATATATATAAAAAAAATATATATACAAACTTACACACATATATGTAGATGCACACACACACACAGAGGAGCTGTTAAATTAATTTAGTCCTAAAAATGAAAAATAAAAATGCCTTTAAAGCATAGTGAGTTCCAGGACAGCTGGGGCTACAGGGAGACCCTGTCTCAAAAAGACCAAAAAAAAAAAAGCCTTTACTTACACATGGTCCATCATGCAGTTTAGTTATTGTAATACCTTCATATCTGGAAGAAATTATATTATGAAATATTAGTTTTTGTCTGTGGTATTCCATAAACCATGACCAATTTTTACTTGGTAGTCTTTGGGAAAGTCCAAGAAGCAAATCTTATGCTAATAATAGTGAATTTTTATTTAACAAATATTGTGATTTTTTAAAAACAGGGTCTCCTTAGCCCCAGTCCACCTGGAACTATGTAGACCAGGCTGGCCTTGATCTCACAGAGATCCACCAGACTCTGCCTCCAGAGTTCTGGGATTAAAGGCATGTGCCACCACTCCTGGTGTTAACAAACATTTTGATATATTTGCTATATGGATCTTTATTTGCCAATGAGATAAAATATCTAAATATAGATGGCTTGAAACAAAACATAGGAACCCAAAAAAATCTTTGATGATTCAAGCAGAAATAGAGAATGTATCCTAAAATTAAAATATACCTTTGAGTGTCAGTAAAATGACTCAGTGAGAAAGGCACTTGCTGCCAATGCCACCAAGTCTGACCACCTGAGTTCAGTCCCTGGGACCCACATGGAAAAGGAGAGAACTAACTTCTGCAAGTTGTTCTCTGATCGCCACTCAGGTGCCGTGGTATACTTGCCCCTACACATGCACACATGCATACATGTACACAAATAAATTTAAGAAATGTGATTTTATACACACACACATTTGATGAAAATCGAGGTATTACTATTCATAAAAGGACTGTAAGAAAAAGCTGTGGGGCTGGAGAGATGGCTCAGTGGTTAAGAATGTGCACTGCTCTTGCAGAGAACCTCAGTTCAGTTCCCAGCATCTGTGCTGGGCAGCTCACAACCACCTGTAATTCCAGCTCTAGGGGATCCAATGCCCTCTTCTGTCCTCTGTGAGCACCTGCATTCATGTACTCCCCCATAATAAAAAGTAAAAAACAAATCTTAAAAAGGAAATACTATAGCTGAGTATGGTGGTGCACGCCTTTAATCCCAGCACTCAGGAAGCAGAGGTAGGAGTATCTCTGTGAGTTCAAGGCCAGCCTGGTCTGCATAGTGAGTTCCAGGCCAGCTGGGGGCTACAGAGAGATCCTATCTCAAAAAGACAAAAAAAAAGAAAGTAAAAATATTGAGTCAGGAAGAAGGCAGGTAAGATTGCTCAATGGTCAAAGGCATTTGTTGCCAAGCCTGATGACGTGAGTTTGAACCCTCAAACTCACATGGTAAAAGTAGACAACTGTCTCCTGAGAGTTGTCCTCTGACTCCACACATGTGCCATGTCACATGAGATCTCCAATAAATAACTGTAAAAACCCCAACCAAGCCCAATGTACCCCCCTCCACTCCACCACAACAAAACACCTCCCAGTACGGTTTTTTTTGAAGCAGGGTCTTCCTGTGGCCTCAGCTGTCCTGGAACTCACTATGTAGACCAGGCTGGCCTTGAACTCACAGAGATCTTCCTGCCTCTACCTCCCAAGTGCTGGGACTACAGGTGTGCACCACCACGCCCGGCTTAAAACTTTTTTTTTTTTTTTAAAGATTTTTTTTAGTTTTTGGTTTTTTGAGACAGAGTCTCCCTATAGCCACAACTGGCCTGGATTTGCTATGGAGACCAGGTTGACCTCAAACTTCCAGAGATCTGCCTGTCTCTGCCTTCCTGGGATTAAAGGCCTGTGCCACCACGCCTGGCAGTTTTAAAAGATTTGATACCTATCTGTAGTGGTTTGAATGAGAATGTCCCCTATAGGCTCCAAGTATTTGGACATTTTTGTTCCCAGTTGGTGGCAGTCTGTTTTGGGAGGTCTTAGGAGGTATGTCTATCCTGGAGGAAACATGTCACTGGGGCAGGCTTAGAGAGTTCTTAAGCCTTGCCATATCTGGAGTTTCTCTCTTGCTTCCTGTGCCTGCTTGAAGATGTGAGAGCTTAGCTTCCACTGCTCCTGCTCCAACCACCTCTGCCTCCGTGCTTCCTTGCCATGATGAGCTCTTGCCCCTTGGAACTGTAGGCTCAAATAATTCTTCCTTGTATAAGTTGCTTTGGTTAGTGTTTCTAGCACAGTAATAGAAAAGTGACTAATACACTATCTTGAATTTTTCCAAATGATAGACGAGGAGGGAAAACTTTATTTTTTGTTAGTTGATTTATTTATATTTTATTATTTTTATTTTATATGTATGAATATATTGCTTTCATGTATGTAAGAGCCCCTGTGTTGTGCAATGCCCACAGAGGTCAGAAAAGGGCATTGGAATCCCTGAAACTGGAATTATGGACAGTTGTTAGCTGCCATGTGGGTGCTGGGATTTGAACCCAGGTCCTCTGCAAAAATAATCAGTGCTCCTAACCGCTGAGCCATGCCTTCAGCCCTATCGATTTATTTTTTATGGTATGAGTGTTTGGCCTGCATGCTTACAAGTGCATCTCTGTTGTACAATGCCCGTGGAAGCTGGAAGAGGGTGTCGGGTTCCCTGGAACTGGAATTATGGATGGTTGTTAGCCATAATGTGGGTGCTAATCTTCAAATCCATATGGAATTGCAAAGGACCCTGAGAAGCTAAAACTGTTTTGAGGAAGAAACAAAATTAGAGAACTTAAAATGCCCAATTTCAAAAATGTAATACAATACTATGGTAATCAGTAGTACTGATATTAGGACAGAGCAAAAGTGGAATAAAACGGACCAAAAAATCTCCTATATCTGTGACCAGCTGGTTTTTGACAAGGGTGTCATGATCGTTAAGATGGGAGAAAATTAGTTTTTCAACAAATAGTGGATAAATACCTGTAAAAGAATGAAGAAAGAAAGAATATTGAATAGAAAATGGATAAAGGGTGGCAAGACGGCTTAACAGGTAAAGGCACTTGTCTCTAAACCTGATGACCTGAGTTTAATACTTGGAACCTACATGGTAGAAAGGAAAGAATCTACTCCTGCAAGTTGTCATCTTGATGTCACATGTCGTCCACAAGCTGACTGTGGCACACAATGCACACATAAAGAAATTAAATAAATGTAAAAATCTTAAGAAAAATGGAGTAGTGAAGAAAATGAATGTAAATCTTCATAACTTTGGATTTTAAAAAATTAACTTATTGACCCACAGGCCTCTCTCCAACCTGAACGCTTCTCTCCCTGAGGTAAGTCGATTGGGCCCGCCTTGACTCCTCTAGCTTCATTAACCCTCCCATCTCCTCTGAGGGTCTCTCCTCCTAGCCTGGGTCCTGTCCCATTCCTTATCTTGATGCCCCAGACACCTGGGGAACCACCACTGCATCTTCCTGATCTTTTGCATCTAGAGCAACTCAGCTCCTTCTCAGGTCCCCAGGAGCATTGCTTCTGGGCCTGGCCCCACCCTCGCCTCTTTCTGCTTCCCTGGGCCTGCAGGACCTGCAGGCATCTCTCTCAGGGGTAAGTCTATCCTGCCCTCCATGCTTTGACTCCCCCAGCCTCACTCACCCTCCCATCTCCCCTGCTGTCTTGCCTCCTAGCTGGGTCCTGTCCCCAGACACCTGGGGAACCACCACTGCTTCCTGATCCTGTGCATCTAGAGCAACTCAGTTCCTTCTGGGGTCACCAGGGGTGCTCTGGGCCTAGCCTCACCCTCACCTCCCTCTGCTCCCTGGGTCAACAGAATCTGCCAGCCTCTTTCCTGGACTCTGGGGCTGACCTTTCCTCTTCCTGGTCCTTTGCATTCAGACCAATCCAGCTCCTCAGTGCAGTCCTCAGGGGCTCTTGGGGCCACCTCCTGCCCCCATCTTCCTTTACATCTCTGGGTGGCACGGCCACCAGCTGCCCTAGACCAGCATCTTTCCTGGGCCTGGCTCCCAGCCCAGTCCAACCCCCAAATTCCTGAGGCCAAAATCTTTCCTGGAGGGATCCAGACCTTAGGAGAAAGCCTGAGACCATCTGATCCTCATCTGACTTGGGCCTCTGTGGGAACTCCTGAAGACAAAAGCAATC